ATTCCCTGGGGGCTGTCCCTGCTCCCCCCAGAGCAGAGCTCAGTCCTGCCCCTCCTCTGCCCCTGCCCAGGCAGTTGGAACTGCAATGAGCTCTCCCCTCAGTCTCCTCTTCTGCAGCTGAACACACCAAGTGCCCTCAGTGTCCTCACACGGCTCCAAATCAAGGCCCTTCCCCATCCTCGTTGCCTCTCTAATGGTTCGATATCTTCCTTACATTGTAGTGCCCGAAACTGCCTCAATATTGCAGGGGAGGCCACCCCAGGTCAGAGCAGAGCGGGACATCACTCACCAGTGATGCTCCTCATGGGAGTGACTGTTCCCAGAGGAACTCAGGATAGCACTGGGGTTTGGGGAAGGTCCCCCATGCTTTCCCTCGTCCCTCAGAGCAGAGCCCAGCTCAGGTTCAGGCTCAGCGCACACGTATCCAGCTGGCAGCCCGGCCCAGCTCAGCTGGGCCGGGCTGCCAGCTGGATACGTGTGCGCTGCCGAGCGGGGATAACGTGGAGCACATCTGATCAAGGCAGCACTGAAAAAAGGGAGCAGCAGCACCCCTGTGGCAGCTGCAGCCCCGAGGCAGGAGCCTTCCCTGCCGCCTCCCCCGGGGATTGTGAGAACGGCTCTGCCCAGCTCCTGACCCAGCTTCCCGGCAGAGCTGCTCTCCCCGGCACGCGGTTGGGTTTCCAACCCTCCCCACCTTTCAGAAAAAACCCCTCAGTGAGGCAACAAATAAATAAATAAATAAATAAATAAATAAATGCAAAAGCAACAGCTCTAGCTGTGCAGCTCCTAAATAAACACCCACGGAGGAACCAGAGCTCGGGAGCTTGGCAGGGAAATCCAGAGAGAGAGGCAAAGTTCTGTGGGAACACATCGAGCTTCTCCCTCACTTATTTTTAATGTTGCAAAATGTCATTGAAACTACAAAGCTTGCAAAAAGAGTGTTGTCAGCACTACCAAAAAAAAATTGCAAAAGTCCTTTTTTTTTTCTTTTTTTTTTTTTTTTTCCCAGTGGGATTCCTTTGTATTTAGTGCAGTGGTGAACTCCTCCATAGCGGGGGTCCAAACCAAAACAGGCTCCAAAATCCCAGTGGTCTACAGGTATTCAGGTACCCAAGTCAGGGGCAGTCACGCCAATAACTTGGGAATTTTAAGCAGCCAAGTTTAGGCACGCTGGCCTGTATTTCTAATCCAGAATGCTGACTTACAAGACCCTCTAAATTACAGCTCTGCAGTTCTGTTGCTCTCCACCTGAGACATCTCGCCTGGGCTGTTCATGCAAACCCACGAGCCATTTCTATGTTTTGTGGTCAGGCTGATAAAAGGACGCCACAGTTCCCACCTGATGGTGACACCGGCATGGTGCAAACATTAATTGAGATATTAATAGAGCTCATCAACCCACTGCTGCTTCATTCCCACTGTCAGCACATGGGAACACCACTGTGTGGTGGCCCCTGACCTCATCTCAGCAAGTGCTGGCTTTTGTGGGTTTTTGGGTGAGCTGAGAGTAGAGAGCCAGAAAGCTCATGAGTTTGGTGTCAGCCCTGCCAAGATCAGCTGGGTTTGGATCCTCCTTCTCACCTGAGCCCGTTCTGCACCACCCTGTTCCTGCAGGTTCTCCAGCAGGAGCACGCGTGGTTACACTCGAAGATCAGGGGGGGCTCAGCCATGTTGAACTCAGGCAGGAGTCGGCCATCCTGAGGGAGAGAGGCAGCCAAGACTGGGTTAGTTAATCCTCCAAACCAGAAAAACAAGAGCAGAAATACCCTGAGGATAAAAACAGCCCAGAGAACCCCAAGGGAGGGTCACCTCCCCAAAAACACCATCAGACCTGAGTTTCTGCAGTGGTTTTGCTCTTCCCTATCATCCAGAACCGACAAACAGCAAGAGACTGCCTAGATTTTTGCTGCCTGGCATCACCCTGTGCACCACCCAAAAAATATCTCACAGTGCTGTGCAATAAACTGGTGTGCAGCATCATCACTGTTATCATTTCACAGCGCTGGAGGGGAGAAGCGGTTGCTTAGTCTTTCTCTGGAATAAAGCCTAAAATTCCAGAGTTCAAGGCCAGTACACCCAAGTTCTGTGAACCACATTATGTTCCAAATAACACTCCCCCCAAAAAGTACAATTCAATTATTTACCAACATAAAGAATTAAGGAAGCGAGAGATGTGATTTATCATTTGTAACAAATTTGGCTTTTAAGCCTTGAAAGATGTAATCACCTATTAACATGGGAGATAAAATGGCTACAAAGCAAAGAAGCAACATTCCCCCTGGGAGGAACCTGCAGAGACTCACAGAACTTCTGATCTGAGCAGCACCTGGCCAAAAAATGAACCTCAAAACCTCCCAGGAGGGCTGAACACACTTACCCAAAACAAACCCAGCTTCTGGCAATGTGGCAATGAAAACATCTTTGCTCTGCCCTCATCCAGAAGGATCACAACAAATAAAAGCAGGCCAAAAAAAAAAAAAAAAAAAGCAAAAGAATTTCTCTCTCCTCCCCTCCCCTTGTTTACATATTACAGCACTTCCCATGTTGCTCTGAAATGGAAGCTGATTTCACGCCTGGATTATTAAATGCTCCCTATCACACGGGTGTAATTAATGGCTCAGTTGGCATGAGAGTAACACAAATAAATAACACAGGAAGAGCTGCCCTGAGCAAACATTTTGTATTATCACACGGGTCTCAGAGCTGAGACTACACTTGAAGCATTTTTAAGTCGAGGAGAAATAGAATCACAGAGTCCCAGAATGGTTTGGTCGGAAGGGACCTTGGAGCTCATCCCATTCCAATCCCCTGCCATGGGCAGGGACACCTTCCACCGGTCCCATCCAAGCTGGCCTTGAGTTGTGCAAGGAAGTGTTATAAAGGAACCATTATAAACCCAGAATTAGGCAAAGCTCAGCTCTCAGACCCTCAGGCTGGCCCAGGAGGAGGGGCTGTGTGCTCACCTTGTCATACCAGCAGCGCATGCTGAGCTGGCCACACATGCAGTTACTGGAGGAGCAGTCGTCTATGCAGACACAATACTGGAAGAGAAGCAAAGGGTTAACTCCACACCACTCCCACAGCTGAAACAGCAGCTTCTGTCAGTGGGTCAGAGAGGAAACCACAAGTCAGGGCCTTCTCCTTAGCCAGAAAGACAAGCAGCTTCATCACCCAGTGGCATTTTGACTGCATTATTTCTTCCGAGAGCAGCGAGCGCCAAAGGACTCCAGCTACAGGGAAGGATCTCACCCTGAGCCAGCTCCATGGCTCAGGAGAGGATGTCCCCCTGTCACCAACCCTCCTCCGTGCCCTATGAGCTGTTCTCCACACTTGAGGACAAGGAGAGCTCCCAGAAGGGACCAGAGCTGGGAGATGATGCACCACAACACACTGTCTCAGTCCTCCCCCTGCTGCTTCCCGCTTCCCACACGGGCTCTCCAGCTGGCTGCTTCCCCAGCACTCCCCAAGCCAACACAGTCCCACCACCAGCTGCTGCACAAAAGGGATTGGGCCTGGGAAGTTCAATTCAGCCACCTCAGGGCTGTGCCCAGAGAGGGATCATCCTCCTCCCACCTCTGCTTCCACCAGCCAGCCCTTCCAGGAGTTCAGTGTCACAGCAAAGACCGTGGCCTGGATGCTGCAGGCAGCGGGCAGGCAGCATGAAGGGCTCTCCCAACAAATCCCTAACTCTCCAGACTGAGAACAGAGGACAAGGATAAACGGGAGCCACATCAGCCAACACCAGATGGCCAATGCCACAGCACACAGCTGAACACAGAGCTTCAGCTTCAGCCTAGAAACTGAAGAAAATCAGAATCCCATCACCTAATCAAGAGCTGGAAGTGAAGAATACAGGCTTAGCTGGAATTTGATGGCAATATTAGGACTAGACATTCCCATTTTAAGTTCCAAACCCACTCTGAGGAGCTGTATCTCTGAATGCACACACCAAAGGCAGGGGGACACACCTGTAAATGAGTGATGTTCCTGTCGATGTCCATCGGGGAGGTGACACAGTTCTGTGAAACATATTTGTAGTTGCTGGGACAGGGCTCGCTGTCCACGGAATTGACGCAGGGAATGGGGATCCGCTCGTAACCCCGGGCAATGTCCCTGCCAGGGGGAGAAAGAACTGTCACCCAAGGAAGGTCCTCCCCAACAAGGGGCCATCCTGGGGCAGAATTACTGACTTTGATCACTGAGCACTCCAAGCCTAAAAGGAACCCAGACCAGAACAGGGTTCATGTTTTCCCACGGCCTTACAGACTGTTCTTTGTGCTTGTGAATATTTCCACTCAGAGGATGAATTTATAAACTACGGTCTGAATCAGCACGTGCTAGTTCTTGCTAAGCTCAAACTAACCTTCACACCAGCTAAAAAAGCTAATCCTGTACTTGCAGTTCTTTCTTAAATCAAAGCCCCAGCCTTCCCCATGCAAGGGCTCAATATCGTGACCCACAAGCAAAGCCAGCCCTATTCTCACCTGCTCACCACCTTCTCTATCTGGGCAGGCTTCTCAGTGGATGATTCTTTGAGAGTCTTGTTCATCTGCAGGGCCACCCAGACCTGAGAGTTAAGGCTGGAGCACTGGAGCGGAGTCTCACCCTCCTTGTTCTTTAAAGTGACATCCGAGCCACGAGAAAGAAAGAGACTGCAAAAGAGCAAGGAAGGATCAGGATTCCCCGAGGGAAACCGTGCAAGGGGAAAACAAGCTGAATCACATCCTCCAGCCAGCCCTTAGGGGACAAGGAAGAGTCTGTAGTAGTGAATAATCACCTGAGTGTTCTGTATTAAGCATGGTTCAGGGAATCCTTCTACGTGAAGGCGCTGGCAGAAGCCACAGACTGGAGCTCTGGGCACTCATGAGAGCTCTGGGCCAACCTCGCCCTGCTTCAGGCATGACAGGTACCCTGCTGGCACCAGCCTAACTTCAGCCAGGCTTGAAACTCTCTCTGGCAGGGAAAGATATGGGGTGGGAAGAGCAGGCTGGAAATGGAAGAGTCCCACAGGAAACTGGTGTTGGACTTGGCCCTCGTTTATACTCACCAGCCTTTGGTGAGTGCACATGATGGCTTTATTCAGAGCAGGGATGGAGCAAAGGAAAAGCCCTGTTACCATATCATGCCAGGCTAGTTGTGGGGAAAAAAAAGCTTTAATCAAGGAAGTCTGACACCTTGCTGGGCTGAGCACAGCCCCTCTGCCCAACACTCCAGGAACACTCCACGTTTTCCGACCAGCTCTGGCAGCCGCAGTACCTGGGACCCACTGCCCCTGGGAGCAGGGGAGAAACAAGCCACCCATCCCAATCCTGGTCTGTGCTTAAACACCAAGGGCACTTCAGAGGCTCTCCTGAGCTCGCCAGAAGGCCCCCAGGCAGCCAGGAGCAGGCAGGGCAGGGAGGGCAGGGCAGGGGCTGTACTTACACCACGCACTCGTAGCGGTTCTCTCGGGCTGCAATGTGCAGGGGGGAGTCCCCGTGGATGTTCACGGCGTGCAAGTCACACTTAGCTGCCAGCAGGATCTCTGCTATGTCCACACAGCCAGAAAAAGCAGCCCAATGCAAACAAATGTTTTCCTCCTGGAGGGGAAGGAGCACAGAGCAGAGGCTGTTTAGTGCCTGAAAACCCCATCGCTCTGGGACGTCACCTTCCTTAGCTCTACATCTGCAGCCTTCAACATGTGGCTTGCAGCCTGCATCCCTCACTGCTCCTCCTGGCTGGGAATGCCAGGGTGGACAGGGAAACCTCCATGCAGCCAAGGAGGGAGTTCTCACTCCATCTGCCTCCACACACCAAGGACGGGGAGGCTGCGCACGCAGCGATCCGTCACATTCCTCACACACACAGGCAACTCGTCTGTCTCTGAGCCACAAACCAATCTGGATCAATCCATGAGAGGTGCCAGACATGAACAAACATGCTGGAAAAGGCTGGAAGCTGAGCTTCCCCAGCCCAGACAGACAGGAAAGCCAGCGTGTCTCCCAGGGCTACAAAATGAAAGAGGAAAAGAGCACAGCACAAAATTAAAGAGGGAAGGAGCGCGCCGGGCGCGTGAAGGTGCTGGAAAGAGAAGCACGAGCCACAGGGAAAGCAATCAATCTGACTCCAGGCATCTCTTAAATACTGTATGTACTCATCTCTCACTAGCAGCACTAGAAATAGCTGAACACTCATCTTTCTGAGGGAGATATTTTAAGCAATGATACTCTGTTTTCTGTTACAGTGCAATTTGCAGCACACGCCGATCCCGTCCCCATGACAAGCTCTAAAGACATCGATTACAACAGTGCAATCATAGTAATAAGCCCCTCGCTTTTCTTCTCTTTTTTTTTTTTTTTTCTTTTTAGAGCAAAAACAAAGCACATGTTTTAGTCATTACCACTTAACTCAAGATCCTTCCTTAAATGGGGAGGTATTGGCTGCAGCAGGCAGTGGGGAGAGCGTTTTCTACATGGCTCCTGCCTCCCATTATGGTACCATCTAGAAAATAACCCTGATCACACCACATACCAAACTACAGAAAAAAATTCATCTGGTGGATTGCACCCACGTGCTGCTGCTCAGACAGGTTACAGACCCCTGGACTGGCTGCTCTGCCCCTGCCTCGCAGCAGCAGCATCCCAGTCAAAAGCATTTCTCCCAGAGAACGACGTTTTCCAGCAGAAGTGACATTGCTCCTTACTGCTTGTATGGGGGGGATTGCTCTTCCCTTTCCCTATTAAACTGTCTTTATCTCAACTTATAAGTTTTCTACTTTTTCCCCTTCCAATTCTCCCCCCAGTCCTGTTGGTGGGGGAGTGAATGAGTGGCTGTGAGGGGATTGGTGACTGGCTGAGATTCAAATCTTAGAATCACAGAAACGCAGAATAGTTTGGATTGGAAGGGACCTTAAAGCTCACTTCATTCCACCTCCCTGCCATGGGCAGGGACACCTTCCACTAGCCCAGGTTGCTCCAAGCCCCATCCAACCTGGCCTTGGACACTCCCAGGGATGGGGCAAGACATGACATTAAAGCTATCAGGGAAATTGAGACCTTCAGACTGGGACAGCAACTCCTCAGGAACAGCTGGAGCCTTCCTGAGCCCCCTGAGACAAATGTGCCAGCAGCTTCCCCTGCCAGCACCCAAGACACAAACGTGGCATTTAGGGAGAGAAATACAAACTATCTACTCCTATTCCTGGGATTAAAAAAGCACTGGGAGCACTGGACAAGGAAATACAGGGCCAGGAGACATGTTAGAGCATGAACTGATGGCAGAGCAGGCACTTCACTGTAACAGCTCTGTGCAGAAAGCAATGAGGCCAGTTACCCTTCCCTAATCAAACTGCCTCACATCTACAGGCCAGAGCCTGCAGCAGCTCCTCACACCCCAATTCACACCCAAGTGTGCCTTGAAGGCACCTCTGGTGTTTCAATACCCTTAGAGACTGAAATAAAAAAAGAGAAACAGAGTATTAAGAAAAAAAGAAGAGCTGTGCCGACACAATGAGCCTCCTGAGGAAACCTGGGGAAAAGGGAGACAGCATCTCCTCTGTATCTTCTCTGTTTACTTGGAAATCCCTGGGAAACCAGCTGGCCCAGGAGCTCCCAGGGACTCAAGCACCCAGTACACCCCACTGGAGCAGGATTTATGGAGGTGAGGAGCAGGCTAAGGGCCAGCTCCAGCACACTAAACTGGACATGCTCTGTCCACATCAGTGGCTTCGTGCCTGAGATGTCTTGGAAAAGCCAGGCTGGTGCTATCTGATGGCAGCATCTGCCCAGTCCACCCAGAAAACACAAGTAAGAGCTTATACCCCTCAAAAACACACAGGGTGCCCCAAATCCATGCCCAGTGCTCACTGGCTCATGACCAACGAGGAGCTGGCACGTCTGGACTCCAGGGGACCTGCCTTGGTGCAGCATCCCAGTGGCAGCAAGGTGGGCCCAGGTGGGTGAGAAGCACCTGAGAATTGCACACAGCCTGAGAGTTCCACACAGCATCCTCACAGGCTGTGACAAAAGAGCTGGAGCTAAAGGACATCTTGCCAGCTTGCAAACTTCTTCCCAGAACACGGTGGGAAATTCTCCCACCAGACACTGTGGGCTCACTGCCTGTGTCAAGGCACCTCTGCACCTCCCTGCACTGAGCCCAAAATCTGTCCCCTCGGGCGTGTTTGGTCTGTAAATGGAGCTGTAAGTGGGTAATTTTTGGAGCAGGTTCCAGCAGATCCTTACGTTGTCACGGATGTTGATGTCCGAGCCCTTCGCCAGCAGCAGCTTCACCAGCTCGATGTGCTTGTACTCCGTGGCCCAGATCATGGGCGTCCAGCCTCCATCATCCTGGGGAGGGAGGACAGGGTGAGACACACAACAGGCACCACAGGCTCCTGCTGCCTTCCCAAGGAGCCACAGACCCCTTCCCTGTCTCATCACACTCCTTTTGTCTCCATCGCTGCAGATCCTTCAGGGTCCTGCAGAGCCCAGTGTGAGCCAGCTGGGGTTTGTTCCAGCTCAGCTTCCTGGTGATGGATTTCCAGGTGCTTCACAACCACAGAACAAGCACTCAGGGACATCCCTTCCCAGCTTTTTCCAGCTCTGCATGCTCAGGATCACCAGAGAAGCTCACACACAGAGCAGAGGACTCCAAAAGCACCCAGCCCTCTGCCAGGACGGGAGAGAGCAGGAGCCATTGCCAGCAGTGAGCAGAGCTCAGGAGCTTCACACACAGCTGACTGTCCAAAAGGTACAACAAACACCCAGCTCATGTCAAAATCTCCCTGAGAAGCCTGAGGGACCTGCCTTTCCCCCAGAATGGGGAAGCCCAGTGCAGCACTGCCTTACCCCATGGAAATGCAATAACTCCGTGATGGCAAGTGCCAGCCTTGACCCATCCCACAGCATGTCCATGATCCCACTCCCCCCCCTCCACACTAGGAAAAGCACAGTGACACCCTCGAGCAACAGGCTCCACAGAAAATTCAGGGTCAAGGAGAAACTGCAAACCAAAACAGCTGGAAGCAAAGTTTCCATGAGGACAGTGGAGGGGATGCTCATGGAACTGTCACCCTATAACGATTTTGAGGTGTCCCCCGTTAGCTGGGTGACCAATGCCCAGACAGCACAGTGCTGAGCTGAGTCCCTGCTGTGGGAAAAGCAGCTCCTGCCCCACAGCCAGGCCTCACCTGGCAGTTGACATCCATCTTCCCGTTGGAGAGTAGGTACTGGACGACGTCGTAGTGTCCCTTCTTGGCTGCCAAGTGCAGACACGTGGAGCCCTCTGCATCCTGGACACACAAGCACAGAACAAGCACTCAGGGACACCCCTTCCCAGCTTTTTCCAGCTCTGCATGACACCAAGTGATGCTCAGGAAAAGCAGGAGGACTTCACAGACAGAGCAGAGGACTCCAAAAGCCCCCAGGCCACTGCCAGGAGGGAAGGGAGCGAGAGCCAGAGCCAGCACCGAGCAGAGCTCAGGAGCTTCACACAAATCTCAGAGGAGCAGAGGAAGAGGCTGAGAGTGCAAAGAGATGCTTTTGCAAAGCTTAGGGAAGGTACAAGCCCCAAACCCCAGCAATGGCGTTCCCCTTCCCTGACAGATCCTTTCCCACTCCTTTCCATGTGCTGGAGAGCCAAAGCGAGGCAGAAATCCCTTACAATTTTCGCACTTTACATCACAAAAGTGGCCTTGTCTCAACCTGGAATGCTCCACTTATTGCTGTGTTTTATTAGCCCAAGGCCTTACCCCAGCACCTGGCAGCAGGGCACAGGGGTGTCCTGCACAGGGCCAGGAGGCTCTGGAGAGACCAAGTGCCCACAGCCATCTGCCCAGACAGGAGAGAAAAAACAACCCTGAAGGCTGAAAGGAGAAATGCCTTTGGGAGCTGGGAATGCAGGGTCTGGCGGAGATGGACAGGCTGTGAGTCACGACGGAGATGCTCCCACACTCACACCAAAGATCTCACTGGGTGGAGCCTGATTTTTATCAGGCCTTTATATCCCAAGAGCTTAGCACATAACAAGGTCCAGAGAGCAGGAAATAAGGAGGAGGAAATGAAAGACTGAAAAAACCAAATTACTCCTTCTAGTTTATCCCATGGAAGCAACACTGGAGGTGAAAGTTTGGGGATGGAGCTGAGTGGACTCTGTGGTGCAGGGTGAGGGAGGGAGGATGGGACATCTCAGGTCAGGGATTGCACCATGTGGGCTTCTGGGGATGCAGAAGGAGTCTCTGCACCCCCAGAAGTGCCTGCATAAAAATGCCACAGCTTCCCCTTGGATTGGCAAGAGCCAAGTGCAGCTCCTCAGCCCCGTGGAGAGCAGGAAGATTTTAACAGTTTCTTCAGGTTTTGAGTGGATCAACAGTTAACTGGATCACTCTGGGGTCTGAGAAGCCTCCACCCAGCCCTGCCCTGACCTCAGCACCCCCTCCACTGCAGTGCCAGGGCTGGGTGGGCTCTGCAAACACCCGCTCCAGGAACCAGCCGGATTTCTCATGGAAACGGCTGGAGCCGATTCCAAACTGCATTGTTGCTGCTCTCAAACAGATGAGTAATTTGGTGCAAGAAACTAATTAACATAATAAACTAGTCTAGACTTCAGACGTGATTTCAGGCTTCTGATTTGCTTCTGCAAGCTCAGGATTCATTTCCTTCCCTCTGCCTTTGGAATCACAAACTCCCCTCTTTTCCACAGGAATAAATCAGGTGAGAGATGCTGGGACTGCTCTGAGACACTGGGGACAGTGGTCAGCATGAACCCACATGTGCCTGTCCTGCCCTTTTCCCTTTCCCAGCTCAGGATCAGGCTTTCAGGGATCCACCTGGGGTGGGCAGCACTGGATGCCTCGTGCAATCCTGCCAGTTCCTTCACAAAACCAGGTTGTGACAAGGAGTTCACATGGGGAAGGTTCCTGCGCTCCAAATAGATTCTGATTTATGGGACTAATAAACAATCTGTATATTTTCCAAGATTGCAAAGCAACCAGAGCGTGCTAAAGGCAAACAGACAGCTGCATTTTATTGTATTGGTTTAAATTAGAGGGTAGAGTTTGAAGATGGGGTTCAATTTTGCCACAGCAGCGTGACTGCAAGAAACCACACATCAGTCTTTTGGAAAGGAAAACTTCCTCTGTCTTTTTTGCTGGCTTGGCAAGCACCTAATTACTAGCCCACTTTAAAATATCACCCCAAAATCCTCATTATTAGAGTCTATACAGAGAAGGAAACTCTGGAATCAAACTCCAGATTCACTGCAATGGATTTGTTCCACTAAGATTTAGTGGCCTCATATGAAATCAAGTACCCATGACATTTGGTGCCACAAACCAACCAAGCAAGTGGCAGCACTTGCCCCAAAGAACTCATGGCCAGGACTCTGCAGCAGTAAAATGAGGCTGTGGCATCCCCAGCTCTTGTCCCAAGACAAACCAGCCCCTTCCCCCTCGGCCTGTGCGTTCCCACCCAAAACTTCACACCTACCAAGAAAGATGTGTTGGACAGAGGCTTCTTCAGGAGAAAAAGGGAAGGAATAAACTACCTTAGGATCCACTAGTGCTCCAGCCTTGATAAGGTATTTCACAGTTTCCAGGTGGTTGTTTTCTGCTGCTTCCATCAGCGGGGTCCTCTGGTCCTCGGAGCAGGTGTCGATGTTGGCACCAGCCTGTTGGGAGGCCAAGGCAAAGGAAAATCAGAGCCACTGATGGTTAGAAGAGGAAGGGTGTGGGAGTAGAGATTCAGTAGCAAGATTTTTTTCCTGAAATTTAGCCATATTAAGCATGGGGAAAAAATAAAAGAAAAAAAAAAAAAAAGAAGCAATAAAGGCAGGAAGGAAGGCAGTGCAACTTTACGTGCTCTGGAGAGCAGCACACACTGCCTGCCCTCTCTCCTGCTTTCCACAGCCAGGAGCTGTAAGGAAAGCAACAGCTGGTATTTAATAACTCCTGTATTAATGGATTTTGTACTCCTACTTTCTAGATATTGCTTGTGCACAGTTTGGAAAAATCAGCCTCCTCCTTTTTCCAGCAGCTTTGTTTCCCCTGGTGCATCACTTGGAGTAAAACAACCAGCTCTGCCCAATGTCACGAGCAGTAAGGAGCAACTCGCTGATTGCAACAGAAGCAGGAGCTGTAAAAAACATCCTGGGGATTGGATAACTCTTCCTGTAGAAGGCAACAGCACCATTTCCACAGAGGTCTCTGAGCATATGTTCAGCTCAACATGGAGTGCCATCACCCAAAACCTCACTCTGTCCCAAAACACTGTGACCTGCCTGCTTGAACTCTTGGGCTGAGCTCAGGAACCACCTAATACTTAAACCCAAAGGACCTCAGACACACACAGCTCTTGGCAGGCCCTGCACGTGTGTGTGTGCGAACATCAGACCTGTTCACAGCAGCCACGCGCTGACTCAGCTTCACCTGGCACGAGGAGCTGGCCCCGTTGCTTCCAGGTGCCTCCCTCTGAATTCCTTTGTTTTGACTCCTTTTGCACAGCTACAGCCATTCAAACCAGAGCAGAGAAGAGGCATTTCAGGCTTAACAAGCTGGGGCCATTCCCAGCCAAATCCTGAGCTGCTGCCGGGAAGAGACAAGACGATGAAGCACCTTGGAAAGAACCCAGCCCTACTGATAATTAAACTGTTTGTAATATCTCCCAAATTTTGCTCCTTTTACTCATTCTGTTGTCTTCCTGTGCAGTAATTTCAGTGAGTGAGAGCAGCCAGGCAGGCCCACAGCTGCCTTCAAAGAGAACTCAAGAGCTCTGACACCAGGTGCTGAAATGCACCATCCCAGCAGCTCGTTTCCAAAGACACAGCACTGCTGTCAAGGGTTCCCAGTCCCACAGGATAAACAAAACATGCTCCCAGTCACTCCAGACCACGTGTGCCAATACTAAAAAGAAATGCTATAACTTTTTTAATCCTTTTTTAAATTCTTTACATCATTTTGGAGCCGGTTCAATGACAGCACCCCTATGGCTTTGACCATCTTCCCTTAACCAGAATCCAAATCTCAGCTGATAAACCAAACTTGCATCTTTCTTTCTGCTTGTGGGGTATTTATACTGGGGAGGAAAATCCTGCTGGAGTTACTGATGGAAGGGAAGACAAGGATCTGTGTGCTTCCAGGCTCCAGAGCCTCACTGCCCTCACCACAAAGAGCAACCTGGAAGCAGCTTGGAGATCTTCTGCAGCCTGACAGCAGGAGATGTGCCTGGGCTGGCACATCTGGCAATGCCCTGCCCTGGCTGTGCCCAGGCACAGATTCCCACCTGCTTCCCAGTGCCCAGCACCAAAGCTTCAAAGCTCCTTGCCTGGAGGAGCTCCTTGCTCCTCCTTCGGCAAACCCTGGGACTGAGGAGGTTTTTTACAGGAAGGGATGTTTCAGTGCTGATTGCCAAGCGTGTTCCAGCCACGTGGGGCAGGAGACCAAAAACCACAGCAAATTGTTTGTAGAGAAGAATGTAAGTGGAGACAGACCTGAATCAGCATATGGCAGATGTCCACGTGGCCAGACTCAGCAGCAGCATGGAGAGGGGTTCTCTTACTCTGGTGCTCCATTTTAAAATTAGGGTCAATTCCATCCACTGAAAAACACAGCAGAGACACTTTCAACCACAATTCAGAGATTAAAGTGTAACAGGAGAATCCCATCTCAGCTAAAGGCTTTTAAAGGTTGGGTTCCCAGCCCATCCTCAGCCCTCCTCACACCTCACTGCACATTGAAACCAGAAAGCTCTCAGGGCAGTCCCAGGGACATATGACATGCAACAACCTTGTTAGAGGAAGAGCAGGGGCAGGA